TAAATAACATTAATTGATTTTAGTTTTAATTTAGGTTTAAATCTTAATATTTTTCTAATAAACTTAAAATTTGTAGAATTAGGGTTTGTATTAATTTTTTATCCCTTTTCTTTTCTTTTCTCTAAATAATTAAATATTTCCTATTATTTTTATAAATCAAAATTGCATGTAAATAATTAGGTTAATTTAGGTTTAACTTTAATACTTTCTTAATAAACTAAAAAACAATTAGAATTAAGGTTAACATTTTAATTTCAATTAATCTTTCTCATTAAAACCATAAATGCAAAAAAAAAACTCAAAAAAATAATTTCTTTTTCTTTTTAATTTAATTAATTTAACAATTTAATTTAATTTCGTTAAAAAAAGGGTCCAACGCCCTCGTTTCCAATTTTAATTCCTATTCGCGCATTTTATTTATTTCCTTCTTGTAAATATTAATGTAATTCTCCCAAAGCCGTGTAAACCTAATTTCTCGCACTTTATTTCTTTATTTATTTTTTCTGTCAAATCGGGTCCTGGATTTTAATTTGGCGATGTGGACCCGCGCCTTTGTAATAGTTTAGAACTTTTAATTTCTCGCAATTTTTAACTGTTAATAATGGCATGCAAGAATGAATGATAAAAATAAAAGCAAACGCGTAGATCACCTATACCATGACAAGACAAAAATAAACGAATCGGACACACAAATCACACACCATCCCTAGGGTACGCCTCACTGTTGCCTTACCTCGAAAGGTGATCGTCGAGTAGAGGATGTCTTAGTAAGTCCTCATGATCCGGGAACCTGGCATGAGGGTAGCTTCTAAGGTATCTTCCTATTGCTCCGGTGATCACCATGTCCCGAACCTCGAATTGACCCGAACACCTCCAACGGTGGTGCTACCTACCTCTCAATGGTGGGATGGCACTACTTTAAAGGACATTTACACAGACGAATTCCTTAGGGTAGGTAGACGACTCTAGATACTTGCTCTAAATTCAAAACAAATTCAAAAATACTTTTCACACCGACACCTTTTCAAAAGCTTTCGAAAGCAATTTTTCAAACACTCTTGAGGACCGATACAAGAGTCGAACTGGAATTTTCAAAGAAACTTTTTAAACCCACAGTTGAAAAGCAAACAAACCATTTTTGAAAACACAAATGAGCAAGTATCTAAGAGCCCATGGATAACCATGGATAGAAAGGGTGCTAACACCTTCCCTTTCTATAACCTACCTCCCGAACCGAGAGCAATCTCTTCAAGGAATTTTTCTGTGCTTTTGTCCTTTCCATTTGGAGAAAATAAAAGACGATGGCGACTCTTGCTTCCGCGACATTTCGCGAACCAGCGTTAAACAGTCAGTTCCAGATCCACCGATCACACTAGGCTACGAGTTTAACCATGGCCTTAGTTTGGTCTAAAAATTTCTCTATCTCTTAAAACGAAGCTCACACGTTTTCAAACCCTAACAATGGCAAGCTGTGATTTTGGCACTGAAACTCACATGAAGCATGTTAAACCATTTACAATGATCAATATGAACACATATATGCACACATAACTCATTTATATTGTGTAATAGAAGGATTTGAATTCAAGAAATTATACCAAATCGGTGATGCTTGAGGAGGGATCATGGGCACAATTTGGCTTGGCTAACGAATGAGGATGACTCCTGGGACCTTCAGAAGGAAACTAGGATGCTTGGGTTGGATGGAGAAGGCTTGGATTGCTTGGTACAATTTTCACTTTTTCTTTGAAATTTTTGGAAATAATTTGGGACTTTTGGAGGCAGCTGCGTGTCCTTTTTTGTGTTCTGACTTGTGATGTATGTATGAGGCTGCAATTAGGTTAATAAATGAAGCAAGAATCCATGGCATTGAATGTGTAATTGGTTTCAAATATTTTCTTAAAAATCTTTCCAATTTTGGATATTCTTTCTCCTCTTGGCTTGCACGTTTTCCCCTTGATATAATCAACATGTTTTGTCCATTATTTGATAGGAAAAAAATTTCAAATCAAATCTTATATTATCTCCATTATTTATTTATTTAAATTTGAATTTTAATGAATAAAATATTAAAATAAATAGCACAAATAATAGAATAATGCACTGGTGGGCTTAGAGGTCGTGGATCATGTTAGGAATAAGTCTCAAACATAAAAAGATAGGCCCATTTGGAAAAATTCCAAGTTAGCTCAATATTTGCTTCATGCACTTTTCCAAAAATTGCTTAACATTAGCAATGCATATCTCTCTAAAATCAGAAAAAGGTTTTGAATTATCTTCAACTGGAATAGAAATCAGAAAAATCTTAGGACCGATTTAATTGAATCAGAGAAAGTCTTAAATTATCTTCAACTGGAATAAAAATCAGAAAAATTTTAGGATCGATTTAACTGAACTAGAGAAAGGTCTTGAATTAGCTTTAATTGGAATAGAAATTAAAAAAATCTTAGGATCGATTTAACTGAACCAGATGAAGGTTTTGGATTATATTCAACTGGAATAGAAATCAGAAAAATCTTAGGATCGATTTAACTGAACCAGAGAAAGTCTTGAATTATCTTCAACTAGAATAGAAATCAGAAAAATCTTAAGATCGATTTAACTGAACCAGAGAAAGGTTTTGGATTATCTTCAACTGGAATAGAAATCAGAAAAATCTTAGGATCGATTTAACTGAACCAGAGAAATTCTTGAATTATCTCCAACTGGAATAAAGTCGATAAGTGCAACAAAAAGTATATACAAAATAACTACACTTTTGCACTTATCACGTACCATACGCGTACGGCCTCTGCGAGCGTCCCCCATACGCGTATGGTCAGTCTGCTACTTCCAAAAATTTGTTTTCACACTAGTACGATTTCCACTCATTTTGAGCACTTCCGACCTCCTAATTTGGATCCAAAATAGTGTTTTTACATATAATAACCCATAGGCTTCATCTAATTTTGTTAAACACTTATTCTATAACAATTTCTTACATCAAAACATCATTTTTCATCATCTCTATTAACCTATATTTTTCAGATTTGGATTTCCATGGAACAACACCACAACAACAACAATTATCAGCAATAATCACATCATTGGTATCATTTACTTCACAATTCCATATAGAATCACATAGAGACAACATCAATCACATAAAAGAAGATCGTACATCAATTATATATAAAATCTAAAGAGGGAAAAGAACCTTCACTATCCTCTCATGTTATAATCACCATTTAAAGAACCCATTCTCCCCCTTACCTTAATTTGGAGATTTTATTCCTCTAACAATGGTGGAATTCTCTTGCCCTAGTTCTTCCTTCTCTCATCTTCTCCGTTTCTACGTGACAGTAATTTTCTCTCAAAAATTCTACCACTCCCTTAATTTTTTGTTTTATTCTTAATAACAAATAATAATAATAATGATAATAATAGTGGAATAATAATAATAATAATAAATAAAGTATTAATAATAATATTATTAGCGGTAACTTTGCCATATATCTAATAATATTTTTATTAATAATAATTGTATATTCCATCATTTACCAATATTATTATTATAACATAGATTAAATTCAATTCTAACTATTCAACTAAAACTAAGTTCTCTCATACCCTTAACCTTGTCTACATATCCTTAGTTATGCCAAAATAATTCAAAGTTAACTAACACCGACTAAATATTTAAATGAGGCGTTACAACTTCCAATCACCACAGTGATAAAAGATTTACCCAAACTCCAGTGACAGTCTATAGATCAGTTACGATCACAGTAACTAGTATAAGGATAAATCCAATAGAATATCACACTTAAAATATAATACTTAGTTAAGACTCTTAACAAAGAACAATACTTGATTTGCGTAAAAGCTTCTATCAAGAATAATACTAAACTCTTTGCTTAAAAGCTTAGAGGAGAATAATACTATACTCATTACCTACAGGTTTCTGAGTGAGAACTTTATGCATACTACAATGTATCAAAAAAATACAAAGGGTGACTTACACCACAAGACTACACGAGAGACTCTCAAACATAAACCCTTATTTTTACAAATTGTTAAGAACTAACAAAAACTATTTAGCCCTAGGTTTTGGTTTTCCTTTTATAAGCCTTCAACTGTTCATGGGCTTCGAATTCTCTGCCCAATTATTCATTGATCCATGGGCTGATTGCTGCAGAGAATATCTCCTTAAGTCTTAGAACAAATCTTTAAGTATCCTACATTAGCTCAACAACCAAATTTAAAAACTTTAACGTTGATGGAGATTTGATTCTCTTGTGCTAGATTGCATCTTCTTGACCTGCAAAAATAACTGAGATATATCCAAAAGAAATTTCAGAAAATCAAATCAAATTGGTCAAAATTTAACATAGCAATACTTGTTGTACCATACCAAGATGTCATGACATATGTCTTTGACATCTGGTTAAAAACACACAACAACTAAATTGTCATGAGAGTTGATGCAAATGTTATAACATCTTACACAATATCAGTAGAACCATGTTTTAGCAAAATTATTGACAATGCTAAAACTATGATACTAATAGATATGTTGATTGTTACTAACCATTTACAAGATGTAAATGAGTTGAAGATCAAATTAAGTAAAAAGTTTGATATGAAAGATCTAGGTGTTACAAAGAATAATTTGTGAATAATATTTTTTAAATAAAATTTGTGAATAATTTAACTCGTGAGCAAAAATAATAAACTTCTAAAATAACCAATTATTAACCAAAAAAATGGTTAATTGTGAAAATACATTATCCTAAATTAGATAATTGACTTGAAATAAGAATAAAAATGATTGTAAAAAAAAAAACTAGTTAAGAGGGATTGATACGGGAGTATAAGGTATGAAGTAAAGTTAATGTGAAAAACAGAGTGAGATTGAAATGGCTTCCGGATTGGTTAGTTGTTGGAGACCGCACAATAGAAATAGCAAGATATTACTTGATTGCTGATTATTGAGAGTGTGAGAGAACTTGCGTAGATCGATGGGGCTAGCTACTGTTAGAGCATTTTGCGTTTGTGCTGCTGCTGCTTCAACCATCGCAAAACCACCTCTTCACTACCATTTCCTTCCAACCTGTACGTTCTCTTTCACCCTTATTTTTTTGTATAATTTATGCACTATCTTTTGAATGCAATTCTTCAGTTTCTTTTCAGAAAAACTACAAACTCAATCTTCAAAAATCAATTCAACATGCTGCAAACTCAAAGCTATCATGTAGTTTACTCAATGTGGAAACTGACATAAACGATGAAGCATGTGAGTTAGTCAGTGGAGAGGAGCTTTCACTTGAGGATGACCATGACAATATACATGCTTATCTCTTCAAGGCAGTGAAAAATAATAATGGAATTGGCCTATTGCTTCTTTCTGATATTTATGGTTTCCAAGATTCCTTCACAAGAGACTTTGCATATCGGGTAGCTTGCAATGGTTTCAAGTATGTTTCTCAACCGTGTTTTGTGTTATCATTCTTAGCATATTTGTTTATTATCAGGTAGCTTGCAATGGTTTCAAGTATGTTTCTCAACCGTATTCAATTTGCAGCATTCTAGTTCCAGATTTATTTCGCGGAGATCCATGGACAAAGGACCAGCCAAACACTCTGTTCGAACAGTGGATTGCTAGACATAACCCTGAGAGGATTGCAACAGACATTACTGCATGGACAGAATGGATGGCCGATGAATTCATGACTTCGGAAGACTCCAGAAAACTTAGCATACTTGGTTTTTGTTTTGGAGGTGGCAAACTGTTAGAGGTGTTAGCACGAGACCAAGGTGCCTGTTTTGGCACTGGAGTCTCCTTCTATGGTACAAGAATAGATCCTCTTGTTGCTTCTGATGTAAAAGTTCCTGTCTTGTTTATTTTAGGGGACAATGATCCATTTTGTGCTGTAAGTGAAATAGAAAATATTCACACCAAAATTGATACAAGTTCAAAAGTAGTGATATTCCCAGGTAGAGGTCATGGATTTGCCCACCGACCTGGATCTCCCGAAGAAGATAAGGATGCTGAAAAAGCTTATGTAATTATGAGAGATTGGATATATCAACACTTGGTCGTGTAAAAATGAAAAGCTTATGCATATGATTTTTGAGTTTGTAGACTTTACTGTCAACTCACTATTTTCTGAACATTTTGGTTAGTAAGAATCCTTCATTGAAGAATTTGAAGTTTCTAAAACCTATGTCACCATCCTCTTTCCTTTTGCAAACATGTTTCCGAACTTTCCACTGAAATTTCTTTTTGTTCACTGTATCTCCCCACCATAAGTTACTCATGAAACTGTCTAGTTTAGAACAAACATATTTTGGGACAAGTAAACACCCCATAACTTCGACTATTGAAGTACAACACTTCTCTCAGCCGCAGCCTGAGACAAGAGTTTTTCCTTTCAACCTTTCATTTTTTTTCCAAATTCTGTCAATGATGTTGTCACAGGTTTTTTTTAGGATCTTCCAATGTTGATGGAATGACCAACATACTTGTTCATATGTGCATGTTGGTCTTTAATCTATTATGAATATATAGTCTTGCGTTAGTAGACATTTTTGCTGAAAGATGGTTATGACTTTTCTTAATTTCTAAGCTAACTGATTTGCTTTGATATAGGCCTAGAATATAATGTATCATATATATCTTTGTTTTGTCTCACTCCCAAAACACTCCTAAACAGAATCGTCTCAAGTTTTTAGAGGTCCTCAGTAGACTAGTCACAATTTAGCAAGGACAAGACAAATAGAGATCCTATATAATTACAATTTAATTTAAAAAATATTTTATGAGGTCCCATTTAACTATAAGTTAACCTTGAAAATTTTGAGGTCCTATGCAGTAGACCGCCTTACACACTCTCAAAGACGACTCTGCTCCTCGTGAGAATTTTTCTTGCACTGCAATCGTCACAGCATAAAAAGCACAGAATTTTCAATCCCAAAACACTCCCAAACATTCCAATTTCATTATGAGTCATTCCAAATACTAAGGCATCATTCTAACTAAATTCACAGCCAATACATAGATATCATTCATTCACAATTCATTGCATTCATCAAAATACATGCATTCATCAAAATACCTAAACTCACGAACATGCAATTTCCTAATCTTAACTTAGCTAGGATCAAGTTAAAAGAAATCCACCTGAATAACTTGAAGAAGATTGATGATGATCCTCCTTTGCTCCATGCAATTCTAATCCCATCTTGCCTTTTCATCAATCATAGAGAAAGTTTTTTTCTTCTTCAAATTGGTAGCTTGATCTTGCAAAGAAATTAAGAGTGGTGGAGTCTAAGTCAAATATTAAAATGATTTAATTTTTTTGCATAATGAAAGGTCTAAATTAAATATTAAAATGAGTCTTTTTTTTTTCATCTACCATAATTAAAATATTTAATTTTTAGAAGGTGTTTTAAGATATTTTTGAGACTCAAAATTTTGAAATCTGCTATGAAATTAAAGTTAAAGTTGACATTAACATATTTATGCTTTTTATTTATTTATTTATAAAAGTTGAATTATTCCTCAAATAAATGTATTCAAAAATTGAATATGAAATTGTCTTTTAGTCACGTTGCTAATTCTCTCCTTAGTTAAACTACATATATTTATCTTTAAAACTAAATATTTAATTAATTTTAAGATTATATGAATATCAATTGTATTTTGCTGAATAACAATTTATGTATTCGAATTACTCTCTAATTAATAGAGAATGTTCTTTTCCTCGTTAAAAAAAGTGTAATGATTTTTTATAAAATACACAATTATTGATTTGACACTTTTATATATATATATATATATATATATATATATATATATATATATATATATATATATATATATATATATATATATATATATATATATATATATATATATATATATATATATATATATATATATAACTATAGTTAATAAATATTAAAATTTGTTTTGTTAGAGTCCTCTCAAAGTCAAACAACGGCTAAAGATAACTCAATCGGTCAAAGACACACAAGATGATTAATGAAATTATTTTTCTGAATCAAATTATGTTTTTGAAGATAAATTTTTTTTATTTAAAATCAACATTGTAGTCCATCGAATTTCATGTGAATACTTCAATTTCAAGAAACACTAATGATTTAACCTCTCAATCTCTCTGATGATGGTAATCAACATGAAGATATCTTACACCTAATTAAAAAATTAAAAAATCTTGTATGATACAAAGCCAAAGATAAAGATGCAAACAAAGATTTAAAACCCTAGAGTTATAAAAGAGAAGAAGTGTAAAAACTCATTTAGTCGAATTTATAAAATCACAATGATATTTTTGGAAATACAATGGCTAAATCACACGTAAGCACTAAGTTTTCTAAGAGGCCTCTCATGTTTTGGCACAAATAATTTTTTTTAGTTATCCTAGTGGATATTTGGTTGAAAGTTTTAGATAAAATTTAGACATGAATAGTATGAGGATGAGGTGAGGTGAAAGTAGGGAGGTGGCAGAATGAATCGTAGAAAAGAATGTTTATGAAGTAAATTGGGCCAGGCCTGCGTTGAATGCAAGCCGTGCCGAGCAATTAAGAAATGGAAATACGAGGAGAATCGGGGAGATTAGAGAAAGAGAAAGAGAAAGAGAAAGCAGAAGACGTAATAATTTTCTTCGATGGGTGAGAAGAGAGAAATAATTGGTGGAGAGTATGACCTGGATGCGAAATGGGATGCCTCCCTTGATCTGACCGTCCGCCGCTTCGTCTACTCTTCGTTTGCCGGTGCATTTGGCGGTCTCCTCTTATTCAGTCAGTTTTCTTTTTCTCTATTATTAGGGTTATTGAGGTTTTGAGGATGATTGAACAAGTCTAGGACATAATCAATGAAATTAATCGAGTTATTTTTATTGTACCAGGGAGTCCTCAGACTCGCTGGGCATCTATTGCTTTTGGTGCTGGAGTTGGAATAGGATCTGCTTACACAGAATGTTCTCGTCTCTTTGATGGATCTCCACCAAAGGGCTCAGAAGCTCCTACTCAGGTTTCATTTCTCTTCTATTTCTTGTCATAGGTCATATGTCAATACTTACCACATGCCAGACTCACATGGTTCAAAAATGCTTCTCGTATAACATTTATATGTCTTCTATTTCATGTTTATATATAATCATTTGCCTCGATTGTGCAATGCATATGTCATATCACTATAGCTACCCGATGGTATTACTTGTATAACTGAAATTGGTAATGGTAAAATTCAGAGACTTAAAAGATAGTGGGAGGTTTATAGCTGAAAAAGTTGCAATTGAAGAAACAAGTCATTTTTGTGGAACCATAAACTCTCTTAATTAGCACACTAGCCCTTGGAACCTCATTAAAATTCTTCTCCTCCTCATCTTTAAAAAGGATAAATATGTATAGCAAACGCTACCCATTCATCTTTCGGTCATATGCCGGTACGCATGCTACTTATGTTCTCATGAGGGAATAAATTATTCTCTTACTTCCTTGTGTATGGAAACATATCATATTTGGTTATGGGAATGAATAGGAGCGTAAATTGTACTCACATAAAGCAGTGAACTAGTTTTATTAAGTCTTCTATTTGATTTGTGTCAGCAGCCAAAGTTGGCCAAATATGTGTATTTAGTGAATTCAGTTGTGAATCTAACTACATATTACGTGCTTTTGTTTCCAGATTCTCACACAGGATTCTGAATAGATGCTTTTAATGGATCCTGGTTCCTGGACAGTGAAGCTGAACATTCTTCTTGTGACTATTGATGCATCTTTTACTCAGTTATAGCAATTGACAATGTTGTGCACTCCATGATCATAAATTAACATCACGCATGGAAATTTATTTCCAAGCTGTTATCCTTTTCTTCTCTTGTAATGCTGCGCTATGTTTGTGTGGTGAATGATATAAAAGATTAAAAAACCTTTCTTCACATCTCAGTGTGTTTTAAAAGTTGAATTGGAGATTTGACGGCAACAAGAAAAAATAATGCATACCACTATTTTTTCATAGTGACATTATTTATTAAATAAAGCTACATAATTCTAATTTATAATTTTTTTTATTATTTCTGCTCAAAATAAAATTAGTTGTTAATTACAATATGGACAGAAGTGAAACTGTTATGTATATCACTGATGATTCCGTCCATGATTTTATTCACATTTTTTGTGGTTTTTTTAAAGATGAACTCTATCTATTGGAAGTAATTTTAGCGGATTGTTTTATGCTGCTTTCCTATTAGTGACAAACTAAAACTATCCATAGATATTTGCTCTCTGGTGTATAAGATATTTGTTATATTGCTTCATAAACAAGTACATTTTTTTATATCTTTGTTCTTTTTTTCCACTACTATCTGATTGCTCTTCAGTCTAGCATTGTTCTTATCGTTGCCTTCATCTTTCTTCTTCAAGTCTCTTCATGCTTGGTTATTCTAATGAACTATGTTTCATGTTCTTCTGGTTTTTCAAAAAGTAGCTATTGTCATCGAGACCAAATTTCCGAACTCCTTAAATTTTATTAGTTAAATTCCTTTGGTATATATAGTTTTTCCGTCTAATTGATTCACAAGATATGGTGAAATGTTTCTGCATTTCTGCAACAATTTCCCTTGCTTGATGTGAAATATCTCATAGTGTTGTGCGAGTGTTTACTTTTTTGAACATTATACTTCACTTGACCCTTAATGGGCGATCTATCTACCTTTTTCATTTATTTCAACTTATCTTTTTCATGAAAATAAATAAGTCAAGAAAATATAACTGCCATTAATCAGTTATAACGCATTTAAAATATAGCAACCAAAAACATTTTTAACCCGATGGGCTTTTGTCATGTTTGTTTTCTTCCATCTAAATCCCACCCCCAAGTAACTTGGCTGCCACCAACAATACCAAGAGCATAAGAGTTTCCAAAGTTACTCTACAAGAAAGCTCCATGTCCCTATCTCTTGCAATGATTCCACCAGCAACATTTTTTTTCTTCTTCTTCGTATGCAACATAAGGGTAATTTTTATGAAACTTTCCGAGGGATTTAGATTCCCTTGTATCAAACATTTTATCAGAAGTTATTAGATAGTTAAAATACCGATATTAGTTGGTCATGGTTAGTTGTGCACTCAATAGAAGTTGAAAATAGATAGTACTTGTGTATATAGAGGTGCTCGTAGAAGAATTATCATGATTTCATGTCCTCTACCATCTCTATTTAGCTTTTCTCTTCTTCTTGAGGTCTCTGCTGTGCCATCGACATCATGTAGAGAAACTCTTCAAGTTCTACTTCCATTGTTCCTCCAACTCCGTAGTTGGTTCCATCTCCAAATTAATCAATCAAGTTCTTTTTATATTCTTTATGGCGAATATGCAGCAAGTATTGAATGGGAGAAGCTACCTGCATACTTGGTCCAGATTGATTGAAAGACATTAATCATCATGAGATATTATTAGAATATCCTGATATCATGGTAAAAAGAGTCGTACAGCTATCATTACATTACATTACATGCTTAAACAGAACCATACATACCAAATGGATTCATTAATTTATTTATGAAGTTGGCCTTTATAAGTCTTGCATCATATCTTTTCAAAATGGATCAACAGGCAGGCCAATGTCTGATCAGTTTACAAATAGAATGGTCCACCGAAAGATTTGAAATTCTTTTCCGGCCTCCATATTCTTCCAGTTGCTTATTCTATGTCCTTGTTCTCTTATAAACATAAGATTTTGAGAAAAACCATAAGGCGGATAATTCCACCACACTAAGGACAGCCAGAAGAGCATAGAAGTAATCAAGATGCGCAAACCAGCCATCAGATCCATCTTTACTTGTTCCTTTTTGAATAGCAGAGATGAGAAAGCTACTCAAAAAACTCCCAACCCCAAAAATACTTAAATAGAGGGAAAGACCCACACTTCTCAATTCATCTGGGACCTGATCGTAGGAAAATCCATATGGAAAGGGCGAAATCGGGTTTTCAATGTGTGCACCTTCACCCAAAGTAACCCCTATTTATAAATGTTGTTTGAGTACTAAGATGTTAGGATACCAGGCACATCACCTTAAATTTTAGCCCAAAGAAAGAAGATAATGCAGCCTTCTATGTAGTTGAATTCAATGAGAAAATAGTACTCATCTATCTCAAGCTATTTTCTTCTAATGAACTCAAGCTAATAAATAGAGTAAACACAATCATCTATTCTGATCAATCGGTACTATTACCACTCAGATGGTCAATCACAGAAGTTTACTAACAAAAAAAAAACAATGAAGAAAAATTGGGTTAACAAGATGATAATTCCTATTTTTCATTCATGTATTAAAAAGTTTAATTGGATATTCTTTCTTCTCAGTTCGAACAACTCATTTCCTTCAAGCTTTTGATACATTTTAACTTCAAACTCACCAAAATCATCATTTTAATGTGCCATAACATTCTAACATATAGACATCGGCTATTGCTCCATGTATGACATTTCAATTGTCTGTGTAATCATGTAAAGAAATTTTCATATATCAAAAAAATCATTATAGATATTACTATGTATTCAATATCTTTTCTAAATGGCATTGTGCATATGATATCTAAATTTTGATTACAAAAGGTATAAAGCAAACTGCACAGTACCTACATCACTAATTTCACATCAGTACTTATTAGACAACATATTAACCATCAAATGCTAAGCTAAGCTAGTGGTTTACAAGATTGTTGATGCAGTTTGCTCATCCTCATAAGCAACAATATTCACCTTAACTGTCTACATAATCCTTTGCTTTTGTACCAATGAAGAAAGTTGGTTTTGCATGGTGAGGTGATATAATAAAACCAAGTAAACCTGAATGAGGAGCACTTGGACAACGAGTTTACATTATCAGATATTAGATCATCAACTGTCACTAGTGCCTTCAAATCCGTCTAAACATGTCCTCAAATCAGAACTCAGGTTAATAGTTCTGTTGAGTGTAAATGAAAACATAACAGTACTGGGAATTGACTTTTGACAATGTGAAATTGTTAGTCACCCGAGCCGAGTACACACTATTTCAAATCAATTTGCCATGTAGGGCCAATTAGTGACGTTGTTGGTTTGCATGTCGTGGCCAGTATTGATGATCAGATATTGCTGAAAGCTCCTCACCCTAGTCTACGTGCTATAATATTGGTGATGTTGCTGAGGATACCTGCATATTGTTGGAGCAGACAAAATTCCAATATGATTATCATTTGACTACTAGATTTTACGATAAAAATGCTAGTGCCAAATGTCAGGCGAACTACATGATATGGATAACATTGACATATAAATTAATCTGGTCTGCATGATAAACCACAGCGATAATTGTTGCCTATTCTACATATATATATCTTTATGCTAAAGCACTCAACTATTGGTTTAAAAGTAGTTAGTTGTACATGGCAGTGAAATCTACTTTGTTAGATTTCATGGTTGCAACTAACATGTATCTAAAATGCTAGATGGATTGAAACTTTCATTTACATTTTCCATACACTAGCCACAGAAACCAATTCGCGGCCTTCCTTATAGCAATGCCATGGGAATGAGAAACAAGACTATAAGCCACCAAATCTGGTAGATAAAATGGTAAACATAAAACATATAGGAAGGCTAATCCTATTTAAGTCTGAAATGTCATAACATATATGTTTATTGATAAATGTAACTTCTACAAAGATATGTGAACATGAAACTTTCAGAACCTTCTGTGTTGCCGGGACAAGAAATGTGGGAACTTTAACCTTTTTACCCTGCTAACGCAGATATCATGTTATTCATTAAGGTGTATAGTTGTAAGATTCATACAAGATATTGGCACAAACATTTCATAAAAAGCATAGGAAAATCTTTAAGTCAAACCCCCAAAATCTTTTTTCCCCAGTGTTATCACGGCAAATGGCGGAATATGGCGTGAGGCCAAAAGTCCACAATATAAACATGTGAGTGCAGCCTATGGTGCCGCTATGGCAGACATCCCTTCGCACATTGCCTATGACGGTTGTCAAAAATCTGTCACGTTTCACCATGGCCGCCATTGAACAACAATGTTTTAGATGCAATAGGAAAATAAGATACATACCAATGCTAGAAAAACTTTTGCAGCAGCCATGAAATCTTCTGTTTTTCCACCCGTACAAGATCCTATGTATACTCTGTTAATATTCACATCCTTGCACTCCCTTGCGAAAGCACGATTATCTGGTGAATGAGGCTGCAACAATTAGGTATTACATTAGCTAAGGAACATAGTGATGGCATCAAATTAAAATAATGTTATTCAAATATAATGTATTTGAATAAATTCAGTACACATATTTATCCTGGACTCCTAGTAACCCTGTGATGCTAAAATAAATTTTTTAAATCTTTATAGCAGCATAAAGTAATTTAATACACGCAGAAAGAACATGAAAGGAATAGAAATCATGTCAGGAATTGCATACAACATATTATAGTTTAGACCATACATGTAAAAAATGAGCAAAAATGAAAATGTATCAACTATCTTGCATGCTTGATGGATAATATACTTTCAATTTGCATTAAAAAAAACTATTTTCACACTTCCTTTTGGTGATGCCATGAGGGTCAAAAAGAAGAAACCAATTAGAAATTTATTTGAAGTTAATGTGCCAAAGTGGGACATAAAAAGTTTGATACAATCAATGCATTAAAACCAACTCATTTAAATATATATGAAGTCATATAGACTAAAAGAAACACCCAACATATTTGGAGTAAGTGGTGTTTTCTCTTTTTCATGGTTCCTGGACAGTAAAACAATTACTGGACTTGGTAGCAGGTTTTGAGTTGAATTTTGCTTCTTACAATAGCAAGATTGGGAAGAAGCAGGGGTGACACAAAATACAATTCTATGATTAAAAGAAATGAGTTAGTGCTAGTGCTATAATATTGTATTTCTATGTTACTATTGAAATTCACAATAACTGATGACAACATAATATGAAAAAAAAAAAACAAAAAGAGAAGTATTTGAAAGACTCACCCGAACAAGACTCGTGTGATCAATTCGTTATTAATAACTATGGAGGGAATGTGAGCAATCTTACGCCACTCTTTCCCCCGCTTTTTCCGCAAACTTGCTTCAAGTAATGGACAGCGAGTCACACTTAATGCTGAAAGAGAGGAAGGAAATCCTTTCTTTGGCAATGACTCGAGTTTGGGAGCGTTAATAATCTCGAGGTTTTGGAGAGAAGTGAGATGCTGAAGCCACTTCTCATCAATGCTTGTATCATTAAGACCACAAATGCACAGTTTCACGAGCGTTGTAGGTAGCAAAATGGCCTCATCAGTGTGTTCACCATATCATCACCGTTAATTCGCAACATTGAGAGACAAGTGAGATGTTCCCAAGTTGGCTCATTACTCCACATAACCCCACCAACAGAGCCAACAGACAGTTTCTGTAAATTGTTAGGCAACTCATCTATGACAAAAGATTGAAGATTTGGTAGATTATCAATTTCCAATTCTTGAAGGCCAGCTAGACTGTTCATTGCTTCTGGTAGTGAATGAAGTTTCTCACACTTCCACACTGCAAAATAAATGAGGTTTGGAGTGGCCAATCCACCTGGGGGAAATGACTCCAATTCATTACAATCCCATACTTTGATGCTTCTAAGAAATGGGAGACTCTTTTGCGACACATCTTCTGCTATTAATATCGATTTTAGATTTATACAACCCTCAATAAACAGACTCTTGAGGACAGGGAGAGCACCCAAGGTAAATGATATCATTGAATTACAGCTATAAGATATTTTCAATTCCTCGAGCGATGTGTAATTGTGCAGGTATTCATGAGGTAGAAACTCTAGATTCTCACAATTACTGATTATGAGAAATTTCAAGGTTTTTGGTAGGCCATCTGTTGGGAAAGACGTTAGAGATGGAAAGTCCTCTATGGTCAACTGTTGAAGAGAATTGAGAGGGAGCATCAATCTGTTGAATACATCTGACATTGGAATTATAATTATGCTATTTTTATTATCATATGAATGTCTTGAGTCCACCAATAAAGGACAACTTCTTAACTCAAGTTCAATTAAGGAAGGAAGTTTGTGAGGTATGTCTCCTGTCAGTTTAGGACACTTACTTAGCAACAAACATTTGAGATTAGGAAAATTCATTGCCGGACCTCCAATCACGTCCACTCCTCCCACTCAGGCATATCCTCAAAGAGTAGAGTCTCCAGGGAGGGAAATGGTTGAAATGAAGCAGAGCTATCACATCCATAGAACTCTATATCAACACTTTTTATTGAAAGCATTGAATCAATATTGAGTTCTTTCAAATTACCCAATTGTCCAAGGGGTGGAAGCCATATACAGTTATCACAATTTGAGATCCTTAAATACCCCTTACTATCATATAAAGAATCACCCAACCAATTTGGTATGCTGACTCCACCATAGCCTTTGATGGTGAGACTTTTCAAATTTGTTGAGGGCTGCAAGTGTTCTAGTACAATACTTTGATTTTGTGGATCCGAAAAAGTAGTACCACAATCCCGTTCTAAAGCTAATTTGTCTATCCGTTCTTTCATCTTCATATTGGCTTTAAAAGTTTCAAGGGGGTCATTAACATTTTGTAGCTGTGATATTGAAAGTTTTCCATGTAGATTGGGAAATTTTCCCAGCTCTGCAACCTTCAATCCATCATTATGTTTGCTTACAACAAAGTCGGACAAAGTTTGGAGATTTTGTAGTTTGGCTATTTGAATCGGCATCTCCCTCAATGCAGTGTCACTAACGTCAAGGTAGTGTAGATTAACTAATTTTCCAATGTCCTCCGGCATCTCCCTCAATGCAGTGTTACTAAAGTCAAGGTGGTATAGATTAACCAATTTTCCCACGTCCTCCGGCAATTCAGTAAACCTCTTACAGCCTGCCAACAACAAGAACTGCAGATTGGAAAGCTTGCTTATTTGAGAAGGCAACCTTTCAATATTAGTGTGAGAAAGATTTAAGTACCGCATGTATAACAAGTTTCTAATAGAATTGGGAACCTTAGTGATACTCTTGTAGTTTGACAAAGACAACACACGTAATTGTTTCATTGTTGGCAACAACTCATGTACTACCTTGTTCCATAGCAAACAATGAGGCATTTGTTCTTGTAATGGTAAAGCAAGAAAGGCACGCAGACCTTTAAATCCGTATAATTTATCAAATTTATCATATGAATCATATGCCTCTCTATTGTATGATAAGGTATGCACCCTACCATCTAGGTTATGTTTGTTCATATTGATACAGTATGGAGATGAAACCTCTGTAGCTAAATCATGGATGAAATTGTAGTGCAACTTGAAGATTCAACACTGTTTTCTTCAACTTGTTCATATTAGGCCTCCCGAATTTGTTGACCAACTCAGCAGAAACAATCTTTTCTAACAACACCTGCACAGAATTTGAGAGTGACAACAGTTTTTCTCTTTGAACTTGAATATCCTCCATTAGTTTCTTGGTTTGTAAGAAGAAGAAATCACAATGAAATGCAACTGTATAATAAAACTCTTATTCTCTCTCTCTCTATTTGATTTTTGTAAGGTCAAAATTTATATTTATATCTAATAAATCCAATGCATCACACTATTTTTTTACACATATCAATGACTTCTTCAAAAATGATCAAGTATAATTTTTATTAAACCACCAATCAAAACACCACTATCTACCAACCCCCCAGCTAATATTCTTTGACTCTTTCTATTTCAAACCTTATATGTCTTGTGTATTGTGTCATTTAGAAGTTCATAAAAAATTAATGAAAAATGTTCTTTATTTTCTTAGAGTCTCTCATAATTAATATTATAAATTGTAATACTAAATATTGAATTATAATATATAATTCATTAACTAAAAATAAAAAATCACCAGACTATAAAAAGGTGGACATAGAGAAAGGAAAGGAGGAGAAGCATGAATAACAGAAAAAGGAGAGGAGTAGAGAGAATCTTGAGCAATCCAATAATGGTTGTCACTCCTTATATCCCTAAAAAGCTCCCTAAATACAATACGTTTGTGGTGACTGTTCCTCTCTCGTTTAGCTTGATTTTTAAGAAAGTTATTCATTATTATACACTATGGTTAAAATGGTATGTGAAACATTGCCTTGCCTTGAGACCGACAGTTTCAGTCAACAATTTTCTTACCTGTTTGTAGAAAAAACAGACGGTTTGTTTAAATAATAAGGAAATATTATTGGGAATTTCTTAACACACCTCATATCTTTCTAGCGCACCGCACGTAAATACGAAAATATCCCCAACTTCCAGAAATGTATCTCCGAAAGCACCTTTAGTATGGCCATTGATGAACAAGACCCTATATAAGTGAAGGGAATTAATCAGAGATGTATTTATGGGACACTCCCCTAGTTGCATCTCCGGAAGCACCCCCGTCTGCAGAGTATAGTTTAGCGTAAGAAACATCAGATGTCACATAGAATATTTCGAAAATGCATTTACGGTAAGGACTCGTAGTTGTATCTTAGGAATAAATTGACACTAATACGCGCGCTCGTCTCTCCCCCTTCCTCACTTTCAGAAAGCCATTGTTTTCAAAATCTCAAAACCCCCCACCAATTCCATTGTGCGAAAATCTCATCAGAAATCAACAAACAACAATCAAGCATCATCTAACATCAGTGTTCAAGCTTCATCAACCAACAAGATTCAGATTTTGAAGTGAAATTATAAGTGTTTTTTAAGTAACTTGGCAGCCCCAACAACACGAAGAGAATAAGAGTTTCCAAGTAAGGTTACTCTGCAAGAAAGCTCCATGTCCCCATCTCTTGCAATGATTCCACCAGCAACATGTTTTTTTCTTCTTCATAGACAACATGAGGGTAATTTTTATGAAGCTTTCTGAAGGATTTAGATTCCCTAGTATCAGACATTTTATCAGATGTTGTTAGTTATTAGTTGGTCATGGTTAGTTGTGCACTCAATAAGAACAGATAGTACTTGTGTATATCATAGAAGAATAGTCATAATTTCATGTCCTCTACAATCTCTATTTAGCTTTTCTCCTCTTTGAGATCTCTGCTGTGCTATCCACATCAAGCAGCGAACCTCTTCAAGTTCTACTTCCATTGTTTCTCCAACTCCATTGTTGGACCCATCTTCAAATTAATCAATCAAGTTCTTTCTATATTCTTCCGGGAGAATATGCAGCAAGTATTGAATGGGAGAAGCTACCTGCATACTTGGTCCAGATTGATTGAAAGACATTAATCATCATGAAATATTATTACAATGTTACAAAATAGAATATCCTGATATCATGGTAAAAGGAGTGACACAGCTATCATTACATTACATTACATTTCACGCTTAAACAGAATCATACACACCAATCGATTCATTAATTTACTTACGAAGTTTGCCTTTATATCTTGCATCATATCTTTTCAAAATGGATCAACAGGCAGGCCAGTGTCTGATCAGTGAGTTTTACAAATAGAATGGTCCACCGAGAGATTTGAAATTCTTTTCCGGCCTCCATATCCTTCCAGTTGCTTATTCTATGTCCTTGTTCTCTTATAAACATAAGATTTTGAGAAAAACCAGAAGGCGGATAATTCCACCACACTAAGAACAGCCAGAAGAGCATAGAAGTAATCAAGATGCGCGTGATTAAGATTACTTGCAAACCAGCCATCAGATCCATCTTTACTTGTTCCTTTTTGAATAGCAGAGATGAGAAAGCTACTCAAAAAACTCCCAACCCCAAAAATACTTAAATAGAGGGAAAGACCCACACTTCTCAATTCATCTGGGACCTGATCGTAGAAAAATTCTTGCAGACCTACCATTGTAAAGACATCAGATACTCCAAACAAAACATATTGAGGAATCAACCACCAGATGCTCATAGGTATGGTCACATTTGGCATATCAATTAGCCCGTGGTCACGAGCCACTTTGAGTCTTTTCATCTCAACAAAAGCTGCAATTACCATAGAAATTACAGAAAAAAGCATCCCAGTTCCAATTCTCTGTAACATAGTGATGCCAGAGGGTTTACCAGTAAAGGTTCTTGCTATAGGAACAATAATACGGTCATAAACAGGAATAAAAAGAACAATAGAGAGACTGATAAAGGATTGAAGAGAAGCAGGGGGTACATAAAAACTAGGCAAAATTTTCCTGTCCAATGTAACACCTTGTTTCGTAAAGAAGGTAGAAGACTGGGAAAACACAATGGCAAAAATTAAACTTGTAGCCCATATTGGAACAAGCCTGAGGATTGCCTTCGCTTCTTCAACCTCAGAAACACTACAAGCTTTCCCCTTTTCCTTTGATCCGTCTGATGCAATTAATGCTTTGTTCAAGAAACTGCCATATTTGAGAGTAATTGGCAAGGCAAAGTTATTTCGCAGTAAAAATTTAATTTAATAATATGACAATCTCAAATATCGTGATGACTATGGTAGATCATAAAATAGAGAGAAAAGTTGAGTTCGTACATGGTAAACATAAACTATATTTATGCACTAGGTGCCACACATGGATCAATAAAGAGAAATTGAAATAATTGACAGAGATTGAGGTTGTTTATTATTTGGCAATGACAAAAGCTGTTGGCAAAAATCATACAACACTATGTTATGTATTTAATTAGGCCAAAATATACCTATGGAGAGAAAAGGGGTATTTCTTAAGGTATATCTGTTTTCATAAGTTTAGAAAAATGCAAATTGTATATCTTATCTTGTTTCCAGCATGTATATGAATGGGTGTGTAGTTACCTAAATTGTTGAGAAGGTTGGTGAGGTTCCTGTTGAGTAGTTTGGAAGTTGGTGAGTGCAAGGAAAAACACCCTAGCAATTCTGGAAAAAGGGGCGCGTTGTTGATCATGAGGGATGTTAAAGCGGTATGTCCAAGTTCCAAGCAAGAAAAGAGACAAGGCTATTAGCATTCCAATGCAAGGGATGCCAAAACCTAGAACCCAACCAACATTGTCCTGAATATAGTTCAAGATGGATAGAGAGACAAGGACACCTGCAGTAAAGGTAAAATACCACCAATTGAAAAAGGAGCTTCTAGACTTGCGTTCGTGCGGATGGTTGATATCAAATTGATCAGCTCCAAAAGCCTGAACACAAGGCTTATGTCCACCTTGTGCAAATGCAACAAGATATAGAGAAAAGAAGAATAAAATTGGTTGGGCGTGGACATTGGAAGGCAGTGTAGCGGACAGCGTCAATAGGCTCAGTGCCTGAAAGCATCATATGAGATTAATATGTGATGCAATGAAAATATGATGAATCTGTGTTTAAAATTAAGAATAGAAACCAGAATATAAAAAAGTGATGCAATGAAAATATGATGAATCTGTGTTTAAAATTAAGAATAGAAACCAGAATATAAAAAAGTGATGCAATGAAAATATGATGAATCTGTGTTTAAAATTAAGAATAGAAACCAGAATATAAAAAAGTGATGCAATGAAAATATGATGAATCTGTGTTTAAAATTAAGAATACAAACCAGAATATAAAAAAGTGATGCAATAAAGATGGTGCGGTAACGGCCAAGAAAGGAGTCAGCAAGAAAAGCACCGAGCAGAGGGAGTAAGGAGGCAGTTCCAGACCAGATGTTGACGTTCTCGGCTGCAGTTACGGTGGATTGACCGAGTGGTCCGGTCAAATAATTGATGAGGTTTGAAGTAATTCCATAGTAAGCAAACCTCTCAGCCACTTCCACACCTAGTTTAAGTTTGTTTGAAAAAATGAATCAACCAATCAGATGAGATGAGATTAGAGATGAATGAATGAACATTACTTGACTTACTTATAATGAAAGCAGCAGCTTTCCAGCCACCAGATTTTGATCGTAGGGCTGGCCGACCCTTGAAGTCGACTACACCGTCTACACTCTCCAATAGCAGCGGAGTTTCAGAATCGCCGGCCATTTCATCAATTTACCATATCAATCATGTCATATATTATATGGACCAAAACTATTTTCGCTACAAGACAAAGCATATGCTCAAAATGTTTCGGCTAATAAATTTGTAACTTTAATTCATGAACAATAAATATGCTCAAAAAAGTTTTACACTCTTCAGATGTTTGATTTATTTATTTTTAAATTATATTTAAAGTATTGTTTATGGCCGGAGGTAATGGATTGATAATGTAAAATATTTTATATTGACGGTACATAATAATTAATCTCTAAATTTAATCTATTAAAATCTGAATTGATTCGATAATAGGTTACGTTAAGTTTGTTAGTGCACAAGATTAATAAATGAAGAAAAGATAAAAGAGAATATATTTACCGCAATAACGGCTATAAAGCTTACAAAAGGAATGATGCAAATTATTGTTACTACTAGTCTATTTATACAAAAAGTAAACTGTCATGTATGCCTTAATAAAAGATAAACTTAATGACTAAGTTAAAAGGTACAAACTAGAAAATACTAAATTTAATCGCTACGATAACAAACTCAGAACCCCAGAAGTTAAGCATACTTCTAGGCGTAACCTCAGAAGCTTCAGCTTCTAATTTATAATAATTTATGGTTACATCAAACTACTTCTTCTAACTAAGCAGTCTCAGAAGCTTACAGCTTCTGGCTAACAACCTCAAAAGCTCAACTGCTTCTAAGCAACAACATATTCTGAATATGAATTACTTTCAACACCATCCCTTAATTCATATTCAGCTAACCAAAACTCTTCAACACCAATTCTATCCCTCAAACAAATAAAGTGTTCAGTCTTGGTATTTGTTGGCTGGAAATTTCGACTAAGTCAAAATTGAGCTGAAATAATGGTACTGAATATACTTCGAGAGTTGTTTGGTTATTTTATTTTTTTTGGAAACCAAAAAGATTTGAAATCGAAATTGATGGATGGTTTATGAGTAAAGTATCATTCAAAATAAGGTATCATTTGAAATTCGAATTCGAATTAAAGTATTATGCGAGATAAGGTTCAAAACGTTACACTTAGAACGTTATCAGATTTGGCGCTTAAGACGGATAATCGAAGGGTTTTTAAATTCGAATGTTTATTCTTATCCAGATGGACGCGTGGAATCTTTAGGATCATCGAAGACATGTCAGCATGAAACATGGCATTAATTCGTTAGGAGACCGTTAGGGTCGAAATTCTATAAATTGTAGCTTTTGTGTTTCAATTTAGTGTGTTCACATCTTTGTACAAAATACTCAAATATACTCAAAGTACCAGTGTTAGAGAAACGAGTTAGCGAGAATGTACGTATGATGCACCATATTTTACAATTCAATGTCATTTACATGCAATGGATTTTCTTCATGTTATTTATGTTCTTTATAATTTCCAGTTTAAACTAGTTTCTGCTTTATTACTTTCATAAAAAAGTTCCACTTCGACATACGAAGTGCTTCCTTTCATTTAAAAGAGATTATCATGAAAAACACGTTTTCTAAATACTAGAACACGATAGTCCTGAGATCAATCTGATCGATCTCACGAGTAACTGAATTCGTTAAGGGATTTAGAAGATCAATGGTTGTTTACCAAATTCCAGGGTAAACAACATCCTTCGTCAGAACATCTGCAAGTTTTTTCTAGTTACTACAATGTGCAACTTCTAATACTTCATTTAGAAGTGCAGATTTCTCCTTGAGAACCCATCTGAAGCTGATATTTTTCTTCTCCTTCAGAAGCTCAGTTAACTCCTAAGTCTTGTTTCTTTCAATAATATCAAACTCTTTTTTCATGGCCTTCAACCACACTTTCTTCTTGAGAGCTTCACGGGTTGACAATGCAACCACCAGTTGCTTCTTATGGCACTAAGAAATAGGACTTTCCAGATATAAACAAAAATATCTAAAAGTATTCCTTCTATCACTCTGTCTTCATACAAATCAGAGTCTGAATAGCATATCAACTTTGCATCTGATCTAACACTAGAAGGGAATAACACTTCATACCTCAGAGTCCCTTCAGTATTTTGTAGCTTGTCAAATTCTGCAAATCTCATTGGTATATTTCTGACTCTATATGGCCTATGAACTTGTTCAGAATCTCCTTCTGATTCTGGAACAATATCTCCTTCTGGAATTTCTTCAGAAGTTTTACTACCACAAAAAGCTCCACCTTTGTTAGCTTCTGAACCTCGTTCAGAACCATTACCTTCAGAAATACCATCTTCAAAAGTTGGATCACCTTTGGAAGCTTTGTCTTCAGAAGTTCCACTTTCAGAATTATGATCAACATCAAAGGCTGGATTACCTTTAGAAGCTCCTCCTTCAGAAGGTTCACCTTCACAGACATGATTTCTACTAGAAACATGATCATCTTCAGAAGCTTGTCCTCCAGAACCTACATCTTTAGAGTTTTTCCTTCTAGAAGCATGACCACCACTAGATTCAAAATATGGATCAGAATCAGATTCATCATCTGACTCATCTTTAGAGTCTCCAGAAGATTCTTCATCTTCTGACTCTAGCTCTTCTTTAGAAGTTTCAAGTTCTGACTAATCTTCAGAAGCATAATCTTCTTCAGATTATGACTCATCTTCTTATTCTTATTTAGCATTGTTATACCTCAAAATTTTCCCTCCCACTTTCTTTAAAACATACTCACAAAAGTTTCAAATACCCATAGCTACTCAAGAGTTGACTGGTCAAATCTCCTCATAAGCAATGGTCTTCAACTAGGGTTTGGTGCTTTTCAATGAAGATTGGGTTGAAAGGGTCTCAAATGATTTTCATGGTTCTCCATAAGTATTCAAGAATGCTCATATCAAGTTTCATGTCTTGCATCACAAGTTGGCTCAGTTAATGACTCAGATGACTAAAAATCAACTATATTGGGCAAAAAGTCAATTGTGGTCAACATACAGTCAAACTTCAAGATTTTTGGTCAACTTCAAAATTTTGAAGTGATATTCATAAATTTACCAAGGGTTGAACATGATTCCTCAAGGAAAGCTCTCAAATAATCAAAGGTCAAAAATTGCCAAATTAGGGTTTTGATTGAAGATGGTTGATCATTGAATTTTGGCCTAGTGCATGATCTAATGGCTTGAAACATGATCTTAAAGGCTCAAATGCAACATATTGACCTAATTACATGGATCAAGACATTTCCAAATATACAAGTGATTGATAGTTGAAGAATTGAATCAACTGATAAAAAGTCAATAGTCACACAAAAGTCATACTTTGACTTTTTGGTCAACATTGAACTTCAAAAATCAAGAATCATCAAAACATTCAAAACTATCAAACTTTATCATCAAGAATCAACAAAGTCAAGAAAATCAAGAAAAAGTCAACAAAAGTCAAAGTTTTCAACACTTAGAAAAATTTCTAAGTGTTTTGTTCTTAACAAAGTCATTACTTTATGGCCAAATTTTCTCAAAATCCAAGCTGATTCAAGGAAAACTTTCAACATAAAAGTTATAGAGATTGATGAATTCTACAACTTTGTTAATGTGGAATGATCCTCAAAAAGTGTTTGGATTAAGAGATATGGACCCATGAAGTTGTGATATTTTTATCCAACACTTAGAAAAAAATTCAACAAGTTTTAGTCAGTTTTTCATCTCAACTTCTTGATCAATTTTCACCAATTTCCTTGTTGATTTAGCCAAAGTGGTCAACATGAAAGTTGTAGACAATGTTCTAAGCTTTCCAAAATTTCCAAGAGCATAAAAATATCACGCTTGAGCTAGGAGATTCAAAGATGTGAAGTTGACATTTCATTCTTGAATTATATGTCATTTTTGTGATGAACTCATAACTAAATCTCATAACCATGTTGTACAATCTCACTTTGCATGCCTCTAACCTCCAAATCTATCCATAATCAGAAGATTACACACACTTTTGAGCCATGATCCAAGTGATTAAAAATTTATCCAATCCATTTTGCCATTTAAAGGAGAAAGGTTACACTTCCATTCTAGGAAAGCATCCTTTATACAATGTCAACTCTCCTTGAGCCCATACATTGTTGCTTCTGACTTCAAAACATCTCAGCACTAAGAAGCAACCAGCTACAACCTTCAAGCACCCCTAAAATCAGGCCATGCTCACATTGGAACCATAACTCTCATAAACCTTCACTTGCAATCGAACTAAATTAACTTTTGTTTGAGAACTCCATTTAAACTGATTCCTTCTAAAACGTCTTGCCTATAAATAGAGAGCATAACACACTGCATAGGACACAAATACACATCTCCAAAACACCCCTCAATCTCTCTCAAATTAGAATTGGCTAAAACCTCTATTTTTGAGCTTTTGAAAACCTTAACTTTGAAACTCACCACCCTTGCCATATCTTTGCAAGCTAACCATCCAAACACCTCATAATCATCACTTAGAACTTGTCCAAACGGTTGTTTCATCACTATAACATCATCTTAATCATCTACCATTTTCACTTTTCATACTTGAAAGTTGACCTGGTCAGAGGTATCTAGAGGTTCTCAGCACCAAGTGAGTATCCAAACAGCTTCCTCAGGGTCCAAGCAAGCTCACAAGTCATCATTTCACCTCTGGAAGTCGTGTATAGGGTATTGCATTTTTCATCAAGAGGTAAGTTTTCTCAAACTTTAGAATATTTATATAAGCATCATTTGTATTTATTTACAAAATTAAAATGTAGATATCATGTCTATGAAGCTAACCATGTCCTTAGTTTTCATTTTAATTGACTGTGTGATGAGAATTTCAGAACTTAAGTTTCTGAATAGTTAGGGTTTGTTTTTGGTACCAACAGAAATTCTTGCGTATCTTTGAGTGTTAGTTAAAATAAATTATATGGTTGGATTCCTTGTTAAAAATCAAGCAGGTTTGATGTTTACATCTTTCAATTTGGTTGAGAAATGAACATTTTACAAAATTAAAAATGGTGAAACTATGTTGTTTTCATTACTGCTAGCGCGTAAAGGAGGAAGAAG